AGCCCTCACTGGTCCCTCTTTGCGCTTTGTGGCCCCATACATGCTCTTTGTGTCGCCTCTTTGCGCGTCATGGCGCCATACATGCTCTTCGTGGCCCCCGCTCGCTCGCGCCCTTCGTGGCCCCATTTCTGCCCTTCGTGGCCCCTCCCCCTGTGGCCCAATCGCTGTACCTCTTGTCCCCGCCGCTGCCCTCAGTGGCCCCGTTGGCCGCCCTTCGGGGCCCGTGTGTATACGCCCCTCGTGGCTCCCGGTCGCTCGTGCCCTCAGTGGCCCCATTGCTGCTTTTCGTGGTCCCAGCGTAGCCCTTCGTGGCCCCATTGCTGCCTTTCGTGGCCCCGTTGCTGCCCTTCGTGGCCCCGCCGCTGCCCTCAGTGGCCCCACTGCTGCCCTTGGTGGCTCCAAATATGCCCTTCGTGGTCCCTGGCCGCTCGTGTCCTCAGTAGCCCCATGGCTCCCCTTCGTGGTCCCAGCGTAGCCCTTCGTGGCCTCCTTGTTGCCGTTCGTGGCCCGGCTTCTGTCCTCAGTGGCCCTTCGCTGCCTTTTGTGACCCCACCGCTGCCCTTCGTGGCCTCCGGTCGCTCGTGCCCTTCCTTAGTGGCCCCATGATTGCCCTTCGTGGCTCCGGTGTTGCCCTTCGTGGCCCCCTGGCTGCCTTCGTGGCCCCATTGCTGCCCTCAGTGGCCCCATCGCTGCCCTTTGTGGCTCCAGCGTAGCCCTTCGTGGCTCCCGGCCGCTCGTGCCCTCAACGGCCCCACTGTTACCCATCGTAGCCCCAGGGTGGCCCTTCGTGACCCCTTTGCTGCCCTCGGTTCACTATTGCTGCCCTTCGTGGCCCCCCTGCTGCCCTTCGTGTCCCCATATATGCCCTTCGTGGCCCCTGGTCGCGCGTGTCTTCAGTGACCCGATTGCTGATTTTCGTGGCCCTGATGTATCTCTTTTGTCCCCTCGCTGCCCTTCGTGGCCCCTGAGCTTCCCTTCGCGGATTGCTAACTTGTGTCAGAATTGCTGGCGCAAATCATGGCGCAAACTGAATCTCAACTTGCAGTGCCTAATCATCGTCATCTCTCCCTTCTGGCCCTCCTCACCTCCCTCCCTTCCTCCGATCCCTTCGTCATTATATCCATTTCTTCTTTCCCCTTTGTTTTCCGGTTGAGGAGTTTCTCCAGTTACACGTGGCAGGGGAGAAATATAACCCCCTCAAAGGGGGTGCGATCGAGGGCTTGGGTTAATCATGTTGACTGACACGCGTGCAGACACGAGCGAGAAGTCTTAAGGTGATTGTTGTTGTTGGTGAACTCTCACTACTGAAGAATAATTATTGTTCATCCCCCCTCCAGTGACCATTGTTTTTTTTCTTCAATTGAAGTGCTTCCCCCGAGGCTCGCACCCTGTTTTTTATCAGGGAAAGTTGCTAGGCTCAAACTGGGCCCTTGGCCCCCGGTTTACAACAAACAACAATAACGGCTCCCGCTTGAGACTTCCTCACAATTGATTTCCAAATCGCGCTCTCGCGCGAGACGTCCTCACAATTCCTGTACGCATCGCGCTCTCGTGTGGGGCCTCCTCGCAAGTTATTCACACGATGCGCCCTCGGCGCTCATGAATCACGCTCTCGCTTTGGCTTTTCCAGCGATTTACTTGGGAATCGCGCTATCGCTCGAGATTTCTTCGCGATTCATGCAGGACGCACGCTTCAGCAACCCGCCTGCTCGACCTGGTCGCCTGGGCCCGCCTTCCCGAGCTGCCCGCTGTGGGTCCGCCCGCCCGATCTGCCCGTCTGGTTCTACCACTTGTTTTCCCTCCTGCTAATATCTCTCGTGCTCCATTCTTCTCCCTCCCCCTTCTACCCGTCCTCTCTTCCTTTGTTTTAGGGGCTGCACTACATGCACGTGGCAGGTAAGGAAGATATATCCCCAAGGGGGTACGATTGAAGACGGCGAGGGCGGGTACCGAGGGCTTGGGAAATACGTGGTGATTGTGATTGGCACGTGAGCAGACAAGAGCGGTCAGTCTTAAGATGATTGTTCAATTGAAGTGCTTCCCCTGGGGCTCGCACCCTGTTGTTTTTCAGGGAAAAGTCACGGGGTCAGACTGTGCCCTTGGCCCCCCGTGTTACAACAACAACAACGGCTCCCACTTGAGACTTCCTCACAGTCTTGCCAGGACCCCCGTTCCTGCCTGAGACCTCCTCGCATTTTACCCAGGAATCGCGCTCTCGCTTGGGACTTCCTTTGAATATATACAGGAATCGCTCTCTCGACGCTCTGGAGTGGAGCTATCGCTGGAGACGCGCTTGCAATTTATTCAAGAATCGTGCCCTTGCGCTGGAATTCCCGCAATTACTCAAGCGCCGCGCTCCTGAATCGCGCTCACGCCTCGGACTCCCTCACAGCTCACTTAGGAATCGGGATCTCGCTGTCCTTCGTGGCCCCGTTGCAGCCCTTCGTGGCCCCCTCGCTGCCCTTCGTGGTCCCGTTGCAGCCCTTCGTGACCCTCTCGCTGCCCTTCGTGGCCCCGTTGCAACCCTTCGTGGCCCCCTCGCTGCCCTTCGTGGCCCCGTTGTAGCCCTTCGTGGCCCCCTCGCTGTTCGTGGCTCGGTTGCAGCACTTCGTGCCCCCCTCGCTGCCCTTCGTGGCCCCGTTCCTTCGTGGCCTCCTCGCTGCCCTTCGTGGCCCCGTTGCAGATTTCGCTATCGCTCGAGATTTCCCCGCGGTTCATGCAGGACGCACGCTTCAGCAACCCGCTTGCTCGACCTGGCCGCCTGGGCCTGCCTTCCTGACCCGCCCGTTAGGGCCTATCCGTCCGATCTGCCCGTTTGGTTCTACCATTTGTTTTCTGCTACTTGCCCCCCTTCTGCTAATTTCTCTCGTGCTCCGTCATCCTTCTTTTCGCTTGTCCTTTCCTCCCATCCGTTCTCTTTTCCCCTGACTCAGGGGCTGCACGAAATTCACGTAGAAGGTAAGGAAGATATACCCCCAAGGGGTACGATCGAAGACGAAGAGGCGGGTATCGTGGCTGTGGGATATACGTGTCCAATGGGCCGCGAGCAAATAAGAGCGATCAGTCTTAAGATGATTGTTGTTGTGGTTGTTGTTGAGCTCTCATTGACTCATTGCTGAGGAATAATTCTTGTTGATCGCCTCTCCGGTGACCATCGAGTTTTTTCAAGTGACGTGCTCTCCCCAGGGCTCGCACCCGGTTTTTTATCAGGGAAAGTCACTAGGGTCAAACTGGGCCCTTGGCCCCCGAAGTACAACAACAACGGCTCCCGCCTGAGACTTCCCCACAATTTATTCCCAAATCGCGCTCTCGCGCGGGAATTCTTCACAATTTATTCAGACGCCGCGCCCCCGACATTCAGGAATCACGCTCTCGCTGTGGATTTCCTCACGATTGATTTGGGAATCGAGCTGTCGCTCGAGATTTCCTCGCGACTCATGCAGGACCCACGCTTGAGCAACCCGCCTGCTCGACCTGGCCGCCTGGGGCCTCCTTCCCGACCCGCCTGGTAGGGTCTACCCGCCCGATCTGCCCGTCTTGTTCTGCCACGTGCTTTCTGCTCCTAGCCCGTGCTCCATCCTCCTCCCTCCCCCTTGTCCTTCCTTTCATCCGTCCTCTCTCCCCTGCCTCAGGGGCTGCGCGAAATACACGTTGCAGGGAAGAAAGATATACACCCAAGGGGGTACGGTCGAGGACGAAGAGGGCGGGTATTGAGGGTTCGGGATAGTCCTGTTGAGTAGCATGCGAGCAGAGAATAGCGAACAGTTTTGAATTTATTGTTATTGTTTTTGTTGTTGAATTCTCATTTCGGAAGAACAATTATTGTTGATCCCCCCCGTCCGGTGCACATTGTTTTTTCGATTGAAGTGCCCTTCCCGGGGCTCGCACCTTGTTTTTTGTCAGGGAAAGTCTTGAGGGTCAAATTGTGTCGTTCGCCCCCGGTTTACAACAACAACGGCTCCCGCTTGATATTTCCTCATTATTTATTGAAGAATCGCGCTCTCGCTTGGGATTTCCTGGCAATTTTCCACCGGATCGCGGCTCCCGCTTGATACTTCCTCACAATTTATGGAAGGATCGCGCTCTCACTTGGGGCTTTCGCGCTCCTCTCGACACGGTTGCAGTTCTCACTATCCTTCCGCCCCACTCTCCCAACATCCCGCTTCTTTTCAGGGTTCCACGAAATTTGTTTCTGACACCAGTTCGCAGCTGTACGTCCCCCCGTGGGGGTATCCACGATATGTTCTTTCAAGGGGGCGGTACGTGGCGCTGTTTATGGCGCGACCCATGGCGAAACTTCTGGTTAACCTGTGTTGGAGTGGCTGGCGCAAGCCATGGCGCAAGCTGAATCGCCACTCGCAGCGCAAATCATCGTCCTCCCTCCTTCTTGCTCCTCCCCTCCCTTTCTCCGATCCTTTCGTCCTCACTCTCCTCCGTTATCTGTTACCCTTCGTTTTCAAGGGCTTCACCAACCACGCGTGGCAGGGAACGAACATACCCCCCAAAAGGGGGTACGATCGAAGACGAAGAGTGCGGGTATCCAGGGTTTGGGATAGGTATATTGAATGACACGCGAGCAGATAAGAGCGGACAGTCTTAAACTGATTGTTGTTGTTGTCGTCGTTGTTGTTGGCTGATCTGTCATCCCGGAGGCTCATTCAGAGCATGCACCCGAAAAGTCCCGCAACCACTTCAGCAGTGGCACCGCTACCCCGGTGAAGACCCGGGTGTGGGGGGGACTGGGCGGAGGAGATGGATGGATAGCGTTTGCTTTTGTGCTGCTGGTCGTCCGCCCATGTCTTCGGCCGACAGTAGGCAGAGGAGGGCGGAGGCGTGCGGTGAGGCGGGGGACGACGACGACGACGACGTCGTCGTCGTCGTCGTCGTCGTCGTCGTCGTCGTCGTCGTCGTCGTCGTCGTCGGCGGAGGCGTGACGGGCGGAGGCGGCAGGCCGAGGCGGGGCTGGGGCGGGGCCCAGCAGCGGCGAAGCGGCCCGGCAGGGCGCCGTCGTCAACGCGGCGGGTGCGCACGGCGGGCGTGTCGTGGAGATGTGCGGGCCGTGGGCGGCCAAGCTGCCAGTGGAGGGGCAGGGCGGGGGGGGGGGTTGGCGCCGTGAGGGTGCACTCGTAGGGGGAGGGGGGGGAGGAGGACGAGGAGGAGGGGAGCCATTGTAAACCCAAGAGTCACCAACGGTGTTGGAATAAATCCCCCCTCCAAGCTCCCTCTCGCAGGCCCCTGCAAAGGTTCGTTTTCACTGAGGGAAGTGCCCCGTTGGGAGACAACCTTTCGAAAATCCTGAACCGTGGAGGGGGAGGATCGAATAATTTCGGCATGCTGTTCTGGCCGTGGCAGCCTCGGTCGACAGGGTCCCGCTGCGGACGCGCACGGTCGCGGCCGCCCCCCGGCCGCCCTCCAGCGTCAAAAAGAAGGCGGGTGAGGGGGGCTGGAGGAGTGAGAGTGGGGGTGGGAGCCGAGTTCGAGCCCGCGCACGAGCTTGAGCCCGAGTCCGAACCAAAGCCGGAATCCGAGCCCGAACCCGAACCCCAAATCCCGAGCCCGAACCCGAGCCCGAACCCGAACACGTATCCCAGTCGAGGTGGGGGAGATGAGGAAGTTGTCAGGGAAGGAGGAGGGAGACGGGAAGGATGGTAAGCTAAGCGCGCCCGCCCCACATCTGACGTTCTGCCCTTCCTACCGATGCCTTCCCACGGCGCTGATTAAACTTTGTAATCGTGGGAAGCTATTAAGTACCCCCCCTTCGGGTGAAACGATAAGGCAGCCAGCACCCTGAAGCGTTAGCCTGGCATTTGGCGCCCAATGGCCCTTGGAGCCATCCTCATCCTCCTTGTCCTCCTTGTCGCCTTCTATATCGATTCCACAATCCTCGTGCGACGTCAGGAATGTTTGCACACAATGGTTTCCATTTCTGCGCGGCAGTACTTGCGGTCGAAAGGGGGGGCAATCATGATTTACTTGTTGCGGCCTGGTGCGGTGCTCAAACGATCGCTCCGCTGAATCCGCCTCCACGGGTTGTTCATTTTCGTGTCGGTGCTAACGATCACACAGGAGGGTTTATTAATCGCTTCACAGGGGTATCTTGCGCCTTACAATTGCGCCTTCCTATTGTGTGGGCTGTTCTAGAGGACCTTGGTCCTCCATGTGGCCCACTTGCATGATGCGCAATCGGATGGGGGGCTTTTTGCATTGGATGTGGATGGGGAAAGGGTGGTAGATGCTACTGCGGCTGATGACGACGACGACAGCGACGATGATGATGCTGATGCTGATGATGCTGATGATGCTGATGATGATGATGATAATGACGATGACGATGACGATGACGATGATTATGATGATGCTGATGATGATGATGATGATGATGATAATGATTATGATGATGATGCTGATAGTGGTGGTGGTGGTGGTGGTGATGAGGATTAGGAGGAGGAGGAGGAAGAACAGGAGGAGTATTAAGAGGATTCGAGGTGAGGATGATGATGGTCAGCAGCAGAAGCAGGCAGGAGGATTAGCGGATGGCGCAGGGACAAGGAGGGGTGCGGCAACGACGAGGAATGAATCGGATCCAGAAACGTGGCCCGCGCTGGCGCGAGAGCGCCATTCCGAGCGACGGGAGCAAATCATCGATCTTGCAATGTGGCCAACCTGCAGCGGCAACACCATTTTTGAAAGACCGAGGACGTCTTGATGGGGAAAACGATCTCGAATACCATCTCGGGACAGTCCGTGTAAAACAATTGTGACAGATAGGCAGGGACAACTGCAGACAACGTCAGGGGACATATGAGAGCAGCATGCACATTGGGGTGATGATGACGACGACGATGACGAAGGTGATAACGTTGCTGATGACGATGATGATGATGATGCTGGTCCCAGGGAGGCCCTGGGAAATTGAAAGGTGCAACGTGTTGACACATAGAAAATCGAATGATATTTCATCGAGTCCCTAGCGAAATCACCATTCCCTGGAGCAGCGGTTCAAGAGTACTGGTCTTGCTAGGAAATGGATTCAGTTTCTTTGAAGAAATCAGTTTTAAGTCTTCTGGACCCACCCGGGGGCGCCCGTTTCCCTTGCTCATTCTGCTTTCCTTTTCTTCCTCCGCTCTCTCCTGCCGCCAAGCCCGGTCTCTCTTGCTGGTGGCGTTGGCGCTGCTCCTCCTCCATCCTCTTCTTCTTTCTCCCCTATCGCCTCTTCCTGCCCGCTCCTACTCCCTAAGCTCTTGATCGACGCTCGATGCCTGCCGTTGAGATTCCTCCTTGCTGTGCAACTTTCATCACCCAGTGGCAGCACAGCGGTGGCCAGATCGCATCTTACTCCGAGGTCACACGCGTCGCTATGTTGCTACATGGTCGCACTTTTCAGTGTTGTGCTACGGCGTCGCGGTGCCCGCTGTGTTGCTATTGGGTCAGGAACATATCCCATGCAATGCAACGCGATACATTGCAATACGATGCAACACACCAATAAGCAAAACCGTACAATGTAATGTCGAGGTCTTGCCATGCTGTGCTATACGCATCCCCGATGCGCATTCCTGGTGCCATTCCGTGGTATTGGGTTGTATTGTGCTGCATTTCGTTGCATTGTATTGCGTTTTGTCGTATTGTATAGTATTGCACTATTTGGTGGGATGGGCCGCATGCTATTTGATATTTATGCAATAAGCTTTTCGGTGAAGCGTGATACACACCAAGCTTATATAACTCTTGAAGGCCCCCGTGCAAGCACGCCCAGGAGGACCATCGTGTAGAACAAGGCATGTTCGAGGCAAGCTCGAGCGGTCTGGAAGACCTCTTTGTAAGTCGGCCTGCGAAGACCATCGTCGAGAACAGGCCTGGGAGGACCATCGTTGAAAAAAAGGCCCAGGAGGACCATCGTGTAGAACAAGGCATGTTGGAGGCAAGCTTGGGCGATCTTGAAGAACCCCGTGTAAGCAGGCTTGGGAGGACCGTCGTCGAAAACAGGCCTGGGAGGACCATCGTTGAAAACAAGCCCACGGTAACCATCGTGTAGAACAGTTTTGCTACTGTGTCGGGAACATATCCCATACAATGTGAAGCAATGCAATGGAATACAACGCAATACATCACACATGCTGCTGGTGTTCACGCTGGTCTCCTCCATCATGTGTTTCCTTCTCCCGTATCGAATCCTCCGACCCCCCCTTTCCACCTCGGCTCTTGCGGGACGTTCGTTGCCTGCCGTTGTCATTCCTCCTTGCTGTGCAATTGCTTCTTTTTGACTCAGTAGCAGCACAGCGGTGGCCAGATCGGATTGTTACTCCGAGGTCACGCACGCCACTGCGTTGATACTGGGTCGCGCTCCTCAGTGTTGTGCTACTGGGTCACAATGCCCACTGTGTTGCTACTGGGTCGGAAACATACCCCATGAAATGCGACGCAGTACAATGCAATACGATGCAACACATCAAGATTCCATACCGTACAGTGGAATGTCGAGGTCTTGCCATGCTATGCTATGCTATCCCGACGCACATTCTGTTGCATTCTATGTGGTGCTAGATGTCTTATGCTGTATTGTATTGCGTTGTATTGTGTTGAGTTGTGCGGCATTGCGTTGCGTTGTATTGCATTGTACCGTATTGTATCGTAGTGCATTATCAGGCGGGATGGGCCGCATGCCATTGTATAAGTTAGCCACGAACTTTCTGGTGAAGTCGGATAAGCACCAAGCGTACATAATTCCTGGAAGCGAGGAGAGGAGGGCGAGGAGCACCCCAGATGCTCCTCATCTTCTTCCTCCTCCTCCCTCCTCCTCCACCTCCTCCACCTCCACCTCCTCCTTCCCCCTGGGCTCTTGAGCGGCATTCGATGCCTATCGGTGCGATTCGCCTTTGCTGCGCAAGGGCATCTTTTGAACCTGGTAGCACCACAGCGGTGGTCAGATCGGAATTTTTACTCCGAGCTATCACGCTTCACTGTGTTGCGACTGCGTTCGCTCGTGTCACTGCGTTGCTACTGGGTCACAATGCCCACTGTGTTGCCACTGGGTCGGAGACACTCCCCCTGCGAATCCTCGTGAGATCCCTCTGTGCTGCGACTGGTCGGAGGGCTCTTCCCGACTGCAACTCATCATAATCATGCTGCGGCTGCTGCTCCTCCTCCTCCTCCTCCTCCCCCCGCTCCCCTTGGTTCTTGAGTGACGTACGTTGCTTGTCGAGGTGATTCGCCCTCGCTGCGAATTGGTTTCGTTTTTGACCTAGTAGCAACACAGTGGTGGTCCTATCGCATGTTTACTCCAAGGTCTCACGCCTCACTGTGTTGCTATTGTGCTGCTACTGGTCACAATGCCCACTGTGTTGCTACTGGGTCGGACACTCCCTCTGCAGATTCCCGTGATATTGCTCCTCCTCTTCCTCCCCTTCCGCTGTTGCCTTTCCTCCTTTCTCTTTCCCTTCACCCCTCTCTCCCCTCTCCCTCCCGTGCTGCCCCCCCTCCTCCCTCCTTTACCGTGCCACTGTGTCGCTACTATGTCGGAACATGCAACTATAATGCTACTGGGACAGGGCGCCCTCCCATTGGCTCTTGAATGCTGTTGATTTCCTAGCGGTATTTCTGCTTGCGGGGAGGGGAGAGAGCGGGAGGAGGAGGAGGAGACGGATGAGGGGGGGCCGAGGAGGGTCTGCAACGCCAGCGGCGAGCAGCGGCGAGGCCTGATGCCCGATCCAGTAGCAGCACGGTGGTCATTGTGAACCGAGGAGGTGTGGGAGTAGGCCGAGGACGGAGGAGGAGGCAGGGAGAGCAAGAAGCAGAGTCGTGGAACGAGGGAGGGGAGAGGAAGGAGAGGAGGATGAGGAGGAGGAAGAGGAGGAGGAGGAGCAGGAGGAGGAGGAGGAGGAGGAGGGGGGGAGGAGGGGGGGAGGAGGAGGAGGAGGAGGAGGAGGAGGAAGAAGAAGAAGAAGAAGCAGACACTTAAGAAGACGACTACTAAGACTAATAGTAATGATATTAGTAGTACTATGACGAGTAGTACTAAGACTAAGAAACATGCGAATAATAATAGTAATACTAAGGATAATGCGAAGACGAACCGTATTACTATTATGAATAATATTAATAATATTAATAATAATACTACTACTACTATTATGAGTACCACTACTAAACAACAGTACTTATCCCAGTGCGACCCTACCTAGGAATTGGAGCCCCTAGGAAAACAGCACTATGCTATTATATGCTATGCTATGCTGCGCTGTGCTAGGCTAAGCTAAGCTATGCTATGCTATGCTATGACTTACTGCGCTATGATATACTGTGCTATGCTATGCTATGCTATGCTGCGCTATGCCTTGCTGCGCTATGCTATGCTATGCTATGCTATGCTATGCTATGCTATGCTATGCTATGCTATGCTAATGCTGCGCTGCGCTAAGCTAAGCTGGGCTAAGCTAAGCTAAGCTAAGCTAAGCTAGGCTAGGCTAGGCTAAGCTAAGCTAAGCTAAGCTAAGCTCAGCTAAGCTAAGCTAGGCTAGGCTAAGCTAAGCTAAGCTAGGTTAGGCTAAGCTAAGCTAAGCTAAGTTAAGCTAGGCTAAGCTAAGGTGAGATAAGCAAAGCTAAGCTAAGAGGACGTAACTGGGGGAACCGCGGGGCGGTTACCGGGGGAACCGCCCGGGGCGATTTCCACTGCCCGGCCCCTTTAAGAAAGAATGTAAGAACCTTCTAGGCGGAGCCTAGGTAGGGAATGAGAATATTAAGAATACTAGTAATACTATTATTGATAATAAGAAGAGGAGGAGGAAGGGGAGGAAGAGGAGGAAGGTCTGCAACGCCAGCGGCGAGTAGCGGCGAGGGCCGAGGCCCGACCCTGTAGCAACACAGTGGACACTGTGACCCGAGGAGGTGTGGGAGTAGGCCGAGGACGGAGGAGGAGGCAGGGAGAGCATGAAGCAGAGTGGTGGAAAGAGGAGGGGGGAATGAAAGGAGGAGGAGGGGGAGGAGGAGGAGGAGGAGGAGCAAAAGGAGGAGGAGGTGCAGCAGGAGGAGGAGGAGGAGGCTGAAGAGGGTCTGCAACGCCATCGGCGAGCAGCGGCGAGGACGGCCGAAGGGTTGGTACCAGGCGGGGCCGCAAGCATATATGTATATACAGAGTTGTATATAGAGAGAGATAGAGAGAGAGAGAGAGAGAGAGAGAAAAAGAGAAAACAAAAAAGAGAGAGTGAGAGAGAGGCATAATGAGAGAGAGAGAGAGAGAACAAAAAAGACAGGGGAACACAGTGCAGGAGAGAGAGAGGAGGAGTAGAAGGAGGAGAAGGAGGAGGATAACTAACATTCTTCTTATTCTTATTATTATTATTCTTATTCTTCTGAGCATCATTATTAATACGATCGTTATTCTTAGTATTATCATTAGTCTTATTACTACTATTCGTATTATTTTTTTCATATTTTTTTTTTCTGCTTATGTTTATGATTCTTATGATTATTCTCATTATCATTAGTAGTATTATCATCATCATCATCATCATTATTATTATTATTATTATTATTATTATTATTCGTATTATTATTATTTTTATTATTATTATTCTCATCATTATTTTTATAGTATCAATATTATCACTATTACTAGTACTAGTATTATTATTGCTATGCATTAGTATGGTTACTAACAAATACTGTTATTAGTACTAATACGGTTAGTACTAAGCATACTGATCATACTAATACTGATAACACTATTAAGAATACAAAACATACTAAGCGTAATAATGAATATAGGAAGAATAATGAGAGGAGGAGGAGGAGGGGGAGGAGGAGGAGGAGGAGGAGGAGGAGGAGGAGGAGGAGGAGGAGGAGGAGGAAGGCGAGGAGGGCGAGGGGCATCGTGGCTCGCGGAGCTCGGATCGTGGAAGTGTGCGGACTCTGGGGCTGTGCGCAGGCTCCCGGTGGGCCGCGCCGGCCGCCGACGGGCGGGGGTTGGCGGGGCGCCGCTGCTCCGCGCACCCAGGGAGGCGCACGGCGATCGGGAAGCTCTGCGCGGCGCTGAGGCGAGACCGGCGTTTCGCTCGAGGGCGTCGTTTCGCGCTGAAACCAGACCTCCTCGCGCTGCGAAAAAATCACGACGGGAGGCTTTTCTCCATTTTCGGCCTCCAGGGGCCCTTGCCGGGCCCCGGGACCGTCAAACAATGATTCAGGATGAAAAGCCAGTCCCGGGGAAGGTGTCCAGATTTCTGGGCGTCGACGCTGTGAAAAATCACAAAGGTCGGGGGTCTGGGGGGGAGGGGCTTTCAGGTTCGAGGCTCGAGGTTTTCGGACGCTTTCCTTGTTTCTCGGCCGTTTTTCGGCTTCGGGGTGCTCTCCAGCAGCTCCGCCTCGCCGAGGGGCGTCAGGGGGTGCCCGGGTCGTCCCGAACGGCCGCCAGAGACTAGAGTTATGACCCGACAGCCAGACGACGTTCGCACTCTCGCCCACCCACAAAAGGGCGAGGTACGAGGCTGGGGGGCGGCTTGCAGAGAAGGCGGAGGGGCTTCTTGAAGATATGGGCCTTCTTGGAGGGCCTCAGGGGCTCCTATGAAGGCTTCTTGGAAGCCCGGGGGGCTTCGAGCAAGCACCCCCTCCCCTGCCTTCTCTTCTTGGAGGGCCACATGGGCTCCTAAGAAGGCTTCTTGGAAGCCAGGGGGTCTTCGAACAAGCACCCCCTGCCTTCTTAGACGCCCCGCCGCCTTCTTAGAAAATAGCCCATCCCCCTCGTGCCGCCCCATCGTGGGCGCCGCCCAATCTGCGCGGCGCTGGGACGAGAGCGGCGTTTCGCGCGAGAGGGGGGGAAACAAGTTTCAGGTTCGAGGCTCGAGGTTTACGGATGTTTCTGTACATCGGCAACAAGTTGCGTCACTTGGGGCTAGTCTTCCGACACGTGCTGAAGCATTTATCCTTCCCTCCCTCCCCCTGTTTGATATCGACGGCAAGGGGGGATTCCCAAGGCTGTCGACCACATGTTGCAACACTGACTTATTTTGGGGACTCCGGGCCACAGCTAAGGGGGAGCCAAGAACAATCATCAATACCAAACGCGGCGCCCAATGTCGCAAGCACCAGGTGGGACACATGCTGCCCGTGTCTTCTTATTTTCTTCCTCCTCCCTCCTCTCAAGCACTTTTTGGCAAACACGCTGCCCACTCAACGTCGCGCCAGTTTCGCACGCTCTGTTACATGCGCGCTCTTGGAGGCAAGGCGAAGGCCCCCGCATGTCCCACATCGTTGTCTTGGTCGCTGGGATGTCTTATTCTCCTCTGCCTCCTCCCTCCTCCCAAGCACTTTTCGGCAAAACCCCTGCGCGCGCTCCAAAGAAGCAGGGCAGAGGCCCGCGCACGGACCACATCGATGTGTTGGTCGCCGGGATGCCCGCGCTCCATGGCTCCCGCTCCTGCAGCCAGAGACCCCTGAGATTCGACGCTGCGAAAAATTTCAACATCACAGAAAACACCGCGACCAGAGCCCCATGCCTCACCTTTCGGTGCCATTTTTCGAGCTGGATCGATCTTCAGGGGGCGAAGAACACTATAACATACATTTTTTCTCCGTCCACGACGGCGGAACAAATATTTCATACTGTTCTCGACCCGCTAAGATCTGTGAGGGTCCCAGGGCCCGAGACGGGGTGAAACGCCCGTTGTGGAGAAAAGTGCAACGCCAGGATCTCATGGATTGTCCATGTCTCGCTCCTCCCCTCCTCGGGAGGGGAGGAACCGAGGAAGCGCTGCATGTGGGCCTTCCGGTGCGCCGGCGGCACCGCCAGCGCCCCCGCGCCCGACGCGGCGCCACTCACGGTCGACCCGGGCGGCGTGTATTTCCGGTCCGAGGGCTCGCAGGCGTGTGGGGGTGGGGGGGGGGCCGGGCAGGAGGGGGCCAAATCTCCTCGCGTTGTGAAAGAATCGCGACGGGAGGTTTTCCCCCATTTTCGGCCTGTGGGGGCCCTTGCCGGACCCCGGGACCGTCAAAAACGATTCAGGATGAAAAGCCGGTCCCGGGGAAGGTGTCCAGATTTCTGGGGGTCGACGCTATGAAAAAATCACGACGTCGGGGGTTTGGGGGGGAGGGTCTTTCAGGTTCGAGGCTCGAGGGTTTCGGAGGTTCCTCAGGTCTCGGCCGTTCTTCGGCTTCGGGGTGCTCTCCACCTCGCCGAGGGGCGTCAGGGGGTGCCCAGGTCGTCCCGAACGGCCACCCGAGAGTCGATCTGTGACCCAGAAGCCACCAGAGACGGGGACAGGCTCAGGGGGGAATGCATCGATCCCCCATCGCCCATTGATCGTTGGCAGGGGTTTGATAGCCCCACTCCGTCCATGCCCGTGCTGGCTCGCTGTCGGGGGCCTATCGTCGATCCATCGGCGATGTATCGTCGATTTAAGGTCGATGTTTCCCACCTGAGCCAGTTCTCCCTTGTCGTTGACCCTTTGGGGCAGTGGGAGGGGGGGGGGGGCACGGGGAGGAGATGGGGGAGGGGAGTTGGAGTTGATCTTGTAGCCAAGTGATTCCATCCGGACTTTCTGTCAAACTCGCCTTGTATCCCATTCTTGTGCATTACATTTTTCGATGCCGTTATGGCTCAAACCGATTTTCCGAGCACTCATGAGTGCAGCCGACGCTCGAAATCGCGATGCTCGGGTTTGTCAGATATTTGATTGCGAAGGCCTCACGGCCGGTGCCGCCGATCCTGAAGGGATACGACGACGACAGTGGTGGCGGCGAAGACGACGACGCTGACGTGGGCCAGAGTCCTCAGGAGTGCTTCTTGGGGTCTCTTCGGAAGGCTCTCGGGGGTTTCTGGGGAGGAATTTTGGGGCCTCTTGGGAGCCTCTTGGGGGCCTCTTGGGAGAGCTTCTTGGGGGTCTCTTCTGGCTTCCTGGGGACCTCTTGTGGGCCTCTTGGGGCCTCTTGGGAACCTCTTGGGCCTCCTGGGAGCCTCTCGGGGCCGAGGGCTCGAAATGTCCATTTGGGTCCCCCGTCTGGGCATGTTCTTGGAGCCGTCTTAGGGGCCTCTTGGGCCGTCTCGGAGGCGTTTTTGACTGTCTTGGGGTCCTCTTAGGCTATTTTGGGGCCCCCTTGGAGGCCTCTGGGGCCGTCTTGGGGCGATCTTGGGGGCTTCTTGCGCCGTCTTGGATCGGCGGGAAGTGGAAAAGACGAGAACTCCCAAATTTTGAAAACACGCACACGTAAATCCATGAATTTGGCCTCTTGGGGCCTTGAGTGCTCTTTGAGGCTTCTTGAAGCGTCCTGGGGGGCGTGAAGGCGTTTTGGACCGATCGTTTGGTAATTGGGGGCCCTCTTGGACCGTCTCGGGTGCCTCTTGGGCACTCTTGGCCTGTCTTGATACTTTCTGAAGCCCCAGGACCCCCAGCTGACCCCCTCCCGGGCCCCCCCTACTACCCCTGGGGACCCCCCCGACGGGGGAGGGAACAATGGGAATGGGCTTCCCTTGAACTCGATTACGACATTGCTAGATTTTGCTCTCGCTGACATGCTTGAGGAGGAGGGTTCAGGGAAAGGGCACGACGGAGACGACGACTGACGGAGGCGACGACTCGAACATACAAGCCCTTCACACACGCCGACAGGGTCGGCGGATTTGAAGATGCCCTCATTATTGTCTCTTGCTTGCTTGATTGAGCGTGCATCGGTACGCTTACGCAGTTGGGGTTGGTCGGGCTGTGCGGGAGAGCTGCGCCCTGGGGCCGAGAGGCGTCAGCGACAGGGGAGAAGCGCCGCCGCCCTCCTGGGTCCACACGGAAGGTTTTGCCCGTTTTCGGCCTTTTGGGGCCCTCGCCAGGCCCTGGGACTGTCAAAAACGACTCGGGATGAAACGCTGGCCCTGGGGAAAGGGTCTGTATTTCCTGGAATCCAGCGGAAAATATCAAGACACCAACTGTCTTGAGGGGAACAGGGAGGAGAGGGGGGAGTTGGAGTTGGTCGGGCTACGCGGGAGTAGCGCAGCAAAGCCGAGAGACGGCGGCGACAAGAGGATCGTCGCCCCTCCAGGATCCAGGATCGAGCTGCCTGCGCGGCCGCCTCCACGGGAGCGCGTGCCAGCATAGGGATGGGGACGGGGCAGCTAGGGAAGAATTATGAAGATAGTTAGAGAGGTTGATGATGAGGATGAGGATGAGGATGAGGATGAGGATGAGGATGAGGATGAGGATGATGATGATGATGATGATGATGATGATGATGATGATGATGATGATGATGATGATGATGATGATGATGATGAGGACGGTATTAGGGAGGGGGAGGACCAGGAGGCGGAGGAGGAGGGGGAGGAGGAGGAGGAGGAGCAGGAACAGGAGGAGGAGGAGGAAGATGATGGCATTGGGGAGGAGGTTGGGGAGGATAAGTTTGAGGGGGGAAGGTACGAGGAAGAGGAGATGCAAAAAGAGGACACGGGAAGGCGGGAGGGGGGGAGGGGGGCGTGTACCACCCAGCGGAACGACGCCCCCCCCCCACCCCTCTGCATCTGCATCAGCGGAAGCATTGAACACACATTGTGCGTAACTACATTGTCTAGCGCATGTTTGCGCCGTTGCCCGCGTGCCCTTGGACGTGCGGCTTCATTCGTTCATCCAGCCCCCGTGGGCCCTTCTGAGGCCACTGGAAGTCTCCAGAGGTCTCCTTCGGCCTCTCCTGGAGGCTGCGACGGAGACGCCATCGTCGTCGTCGCTCGTCGCTCTACGTCATGGTCGTCGTCGAACGTCGTCGTCGTCGTCGTCGTCATCGTCGTCGTCTTCGTCGTCGTCGTCGCCGCCGTCGTCGTGGTTGTTGTTGTTGTTGTTGTTGTTGTTGTTGTTGTGGTTGTTGTTGTGGTTGTTGTCGTCGTCGTCGTCGTCGTCGTCGTCGTTGTTGTTGTTGTTGTTGTTGTTGTTGTTGTTGTTGTTGTTGTTGTTGTTGTTGTTGTTGTTGTTGTTGTTGTTGTTGTTGTTGTTGTTGTCGTGGTGGTGGTGGTGGTGGTGGTGGTGGTGGTTGTTGTTGTTGTTGTTGTTGTTGTTGTTGTTGTTGTTGTTGTTGTTGTTGTTGTTGTCGTCGTCGTCGTCGTCGTCGTCGTCGTCGTCGTCGTCGTCGCTCGTCGCTCTACGTCGTCGTCGTCGTCGAACGTCGTCGGTCGTTGTCGTCGAACGTCGTCGTCGTCGTCGTCGTCGTCGTCGTCGTCGTCGTCGTCGTCGTCGAACGTCGAACGTCGTCGTCGTCGTCGTCGTCGTCGTCGGATCGTCGTCGTCGTGGTTGGATCGTCTTCGTCGCCGTCGTTGTCGTTGTTCCTTCCCCCCGACAGGGCCGCTTCCTGTGCGGCGTGAGCCCTCGTCCCGAGGACGACCGTGACTGCAGTGTCGAGGATCTGGAGCACGCGGACCACGAGCTTTTCGACGAGGCCGCCTCCCTGCAGCTGCTGCCCTCGAGCCGCGGTCGGACGGTGCTAGGACGAGGATGCATCCGTTCCAGAGCGTTCTTGAACGCTCTGAGAAGGCCGCGGCGCCCGAGACATCCGCCAGAGCCGCCGGATCTCAGAGATTCTCCATCAACCTAACCCTTTTTTTTCCGCGCAGCCTGCCCGGAACCAGCGTGGCGGCATGTAGGGCTTCGGCATGTGGGGCCGGTTTTGCGCCCCGAGTCGTCTTTTGACGGCCCTGAGGGTCGGCGACGGCTCCTTTTTTTGACTGAGCTCTCTGGGGCCTCCTGGAGCCTGTTGGAGCCTCCCGAGGGCCCCAAGACGGCCAGGACGCCAAGCTAGAACAAGGCGGCCTCGTGGCCCCGTTGCAGCCCTTCGTGGCCCCCTCGCTCTGGACCGCAGCGAGCTCGGCCGCCAAGTGCCGATATGGCTCAGACGCCGAATGGGTCCTCGTCCTGGCTTCGTCTTACGCGGAGGGTTCGGATCGGCGGCCAGCCCTGGGGGAAGTGAGAGGGGGCTGGCCTTCTCAGCAGGTTGGGAGGTCCCCCAGCCTTTGAGAAGTTTCCTAAACCTTCCCCGAAGACACAGAAAACCTTTCAGAAGGCCGGAGGGCTTCTGAGAAGCCCCGCCGCCTTCTCAGAGGGCCTTCTCTTCCTCACTTTCCCCCCTCGGTCGCCGCCGATTGGAGGAGGACGGGGAGAGGGGGATCAGGACAGGTGGGGTAAGGATGGGCGACTTTCCAAGGTGTCCCTTACATCCTTCCCCTTCGGCCCATCCCTGGCCGCTTTCGCTGGCTGCGCCCAGTTCGCAAAGTATTGAGATGGCCTTCCGGGGCCCTTGCATCCTTATGGTGCGTTTTTTTTGTACGGGTTGATTGCATGCGGTGGGTTTGGAGGAGGACGGGGAGACGGGGGGGGGGAGCAGGAACGGTGGGTGCTCGAGGGCGCGAGGTGGCGGCGCAGGGCTCCCAGGCCGTGGGGGCCGCCCGCGGCGCGCCGAGGCCTGCCCGCCGTGCGGGCCGTCCTAAGGGAGGAGCAGGAGGAGGAGGAGCAGGAGGAGGAGGAGGAGGAGGAGGAGGAGGAGGAGGAGGAGGAGGAGGAGGAGGAGGAGGGCTGGACGGTTTTGAAACGCCATTTTCCCGACGGTCTGGCTGATCGCTTCGGTCTTCGTTCCCCGTCTCCCGCGTCGCTCGCCGTCACTGTCGCGCCGTACTCCCTCTACCCTCACCTCTCCAACCTTCCGAGGGCGAGGTCCGTACTCGGCATTCCGCCGCAGGAAGCTCATGCCATCCTGCCCTGCGTTGCACGATTCCGTGCACAGGCAGGCCATAGCTGTCAATCACCGAGGCGAATTCTGGGGCGCCCAGCTACCTGCCAGGATGATGATGATGATGATGATGATGATGATGATGATGATGATGATGATGATGATGATGATGATGATGATGATGATGATGATGATGATGATGATGATGATGAGGACCAACGCAAACCCAAGTCTCCCCAAGTTTCTTTTTGTATGGGTTCCCACACGGGTTCGTTTTCACCGAGGGAAGGGCCCCGTTGAAAGACAACCGTTTGCAAATCCTGAACAGTGCTAGAACACCGTTCCTGGGATTTCGACGCCCCGAATCAACGTTATTGTTGCGTTCTGGCGTTTCTGAATCGTGCCAGACGATCGTCCCTGTGACTTCAACGCCGCGAGTAAAAGAAACGGTTGCGTCCTGACGAGAGGAGTGGGAGGAAGAGTGGAAAGATGATGGGTCTTGCCAAATCTGCAGCCGAAAACATCAACGTTGAATTTTCCAACAGTTTTTCTTATTCTGGTTCTCCTATGACCTTGCTGGAGCTTCTTGGAGCTTCCGAGGGGGGGCGATATCTTGGTTGGAGTCTTCGGGGCGCCATCTTCGGCTGGTCTTTGTCGCCACGCGATGGCATGATGGCGCCAAGCTGGCAGCGCAGCGCTGCTCTCGTTGAGTTTTCGTTCGTCTTTTAGTTTCCGGGCTGATATCGCCCCTACTGTACTGTTCTGTATTGTACTGTATTGTAATGTACTTGGGGCATCTTGAGGCCGCTGTAGTGGGGCGGTCGCGTGCAGCAGTTTTGTCGCCCGCTTTGAGGTCAACAAAAGCGCCAGAGAGCAAACTAGGGGCGCGTTCTCTGAAAATGCCCTCGGTGAGGGGGGGTTGCCCTTGGAAAGCGACAAGGACCCTACCCTAGAACGAATGGGCATTCGAACATGCTTCCACGCGCCGAGGACATGGTGCAGGATTCGCACAAAGATGTTGAAACCACTTCATCAGCGCAGCAACTGTGGATTTGATCAAGTTCCGCTTTCAAAATTCAGCTGATGTCCATTTCACGTGTGATACATGGTGCAGCTTTGGCTGGTCGATTCAGGGGTCGCGCGCCGCCGCTGGCGGTCACCGTCGTCGTGGTCGTCGTCGTCATGGTCGTCGTCGTCGTCGTCGTCGTCGGCACCACCGGCGGTCGCCGTCGGCGCCGTCCGCCGCGTCGCTGTGGCGTCGCGTCGTCGTCGCCGTCGTCGTCGTCGTCGTCGTCGTCGTCGTCGTCGTCGTCGTCGTCGTCTTCGCCACCGCCGGCGGTCGCCGTTGGCGTCATGGTCCAGGTCGTGTGGCCGGCGCTGGCGAGTCGCGTCCCCGCGTTCGAGGCGCTGCGAGTGGAATCTTCGTGGGCTGGGCTCCCGCTGCCGCCGGTCGGCGTCAGAAGGGAGGAAGAGGAGGGGGAGGGGGGCGAGTGGGGGAGAACGACGGGGGGGAGGAAAACGACCAGGAACGGAACTCTAGGATGCATCAGCGATGCGGCAATGCACCCTCCCGTCCCAGGCTTACTTTTCACAAATCCCCACAAACTTTTATTCACCACAAGGAGCGCCCCCTCGAAAGACCAGCGCCCTATGGGCTTAAAATTCAGGGGAGGGCCCCGTTTTGAAAAGGAGCTGTCTTGCATTCTCTTGCGAATCGGAAGGAGTACGAGAAAGTATCGTCGTACAGTTCGACGGGGCGTTCAGCGATATTCTGTTTTCGGAAAAAAAGGCCGCCCCCATCAGTGTCGTTCTTGCACAAGCTTGCACTTCTGGTGCTGCAGGTCGGGGAGTGAAGAAGAAACCGAACTGCATCCGTGCAGCTGCTGCGTCCGTATCCTCAGGCATCTGGCTTGTAATTCGTCAGGACATCTCAAGCGAGATACCCTCTTTGAAGAAGGAGCTGCTGCATATTTGGAAGCGAACGTGCGCAGCGCTCGAGCGACGCGTCTGGGGGTGCGACTGGGAAGACTCATCCGAACGGGAACGGGATGGAACAGGAAGGGGGGGAGGAGGACGAGGAGGAGTGAATGCCGAACACCTGCGCCCAACAGGCGAAGTTCGACCAGGCATCTTGGAGGGCGAGGGGCGAGGAAGGCCCCACAGCATGATCACAATCGTTATGTTTATCTCGTGTTTTAGTCCCCATTCGCATTCTGGTGTGTTGACTTTGCTCGGTTGTGTTCGAGGAGTGGCGGGGATGATCTGGGAAGGGGAGGATGCGGGAGGATTGGGGGGGATGAAGGAGGAGGGCAAGGCGGAGGGATGTGGGATAGCGATGACGACAACGATGGCGATGAGGACGAGACGGTGCCGATGCCGATGCCGATGCCGATGCCGCGGACGACGACGACGAGGAGAAGGAGGAGGTGGAAGGAGGAGGAGGAGGAGGAGGAGGAGGAGGAGAGGAGGAGGAGGAGGAGGAGGAGGAGGAGGGAGGAGCAGGAGGAGCAGGAGGAGCAGGAGGAGGAGGAGGAGGAGGAGGAGGAGCAGGAGGAGGAGGAGGAGGAGGAGGAGGAGGAGGAGGAGGAGGTGGATCGAGAGAAGGGGTAGCAGGGGGGAGGGGTGGGAGGGACGGTGGAGGCGTGATGCTACGGCGGGAGTGAGAGGATGGCAGCGATGGGGGGACAGGCGGAAAGTAATGGCGGTAGAGAGAGAGAGAGAGAGAGAGAGAAATAACAAGATAAAGAGAGAGAGAGAAAACAAAGAGAAGGAGAGGGAAAGGGATGGATACACGACGACCACGACCACCATGATCACTCCCACGACCACTCCGCGCCTCCCCTGTCAACGTCGACCGTCCCCCTCGCGCCCCCCCCCTCTCTCCTGTCTCCTTTGCCTGGCCGCCTGGCCGCCCCTGCATGCAGTCCGTCCTCTTCCTTCTCCTCTTCCCCCCCTTGGCGGGTGGCCGAAATCATGCGGCCGGTGAGGCCCGCCGCCGAAGGCGATGGCCTTGCGGGCAGACGCCCCTGTTTCGTGTTTCGCCTGCCCGGAGGTCCCCTCTGGGAGTGCCGTCCCTTTTTGAGAATCGCTGGGGCTGTGGCGGAGAGACAGAGAGAGAAAGAGAGAGAGAGGGAGAGAGAAAGAGAGAGAAGGAGGGAGCGAGAAAGGGAGAGAAAGTCGGGGTTGAAGGGGTTGGGGAGGGAGGGAGGGGAAGTTGGGGTAGGAGGAGGGGGGGTTGGGGTGGAAGGGGGGGGGAGAGATGGAGGGGAGAGATAGAGGGAGGGAAGGTTTGGGTGGGGGGTGGGGGGTGGGGTGGGAGGGGAGGGGGGGAGAGATGGAGGGGAGAGATAAAGGGAGGGAAGGTTTGGGTAGGAGGGGAGGTGAAAGGAGGGGAGGGGGGGGAGGCGAAATAGGGCATGGGCGCCTCCCGCCGCGCGCGCCCCCGTCTCCCCGAGTTTTTACGAATACAACACGTTCGACCAGAACGCGGTGGCGCCGCGTCCCCACCCCCCGCCTTCGCCGAAGCTGGTGTTGTGCCTTCGCCGCCTGCAGCTGCTGCTGCTGCTGCTCCGCCGTCGCCGCCGCCTCCGTCGTCGTCGTCGTCGTCGTCGCCACCGCCTCCGTCGTCGTCGTCGTCGTCGTCGTCGTCGTCGTCGTCGTCGTCGTCGTCGTCGTCCTTGCTTCTGTCCTCGTCCTTGTCCTTTCCCGTTCACCCCCCACTCCTGCTTGCCCTCGTCTTCTTCATCGCCTTCCCCCTTCTCTTGACCCCTGTGCTCCCGTGCTCCCCTGCCCTGTTGCTCCCCTTCGTCTCCCCCTCCCGCGCGCGGCATTAACTGCAAGCTGCGTGTTTATTCTCTATCTCATCCTTATCTTCGGATTGACGACTGATGTCAGTGTTGGCCCGCGACATTAACTCGGAACCTCGGCCTTCGAGCACCGCACACCAGATTCCCATCCCAGTACGAACCTGTTAGCTCCATGTCAACGATTGGAACCAGGGGCTGCGCGTGGCATTCACTCGAACATAGGTGTTGTTGTGATAATCAACCTTATCTATCTTGTCAGCAGCTTGTACGAATCGAAGGCTGCACGTGGCATGAACCTGAAATGTGGGCTTCATGCTAAAACGCTTCCTTAGACGTCCTATTGAGCTCGCAGAGCGGGAGCACGGCGGGCTGCCCAGAGGGGAAAATCCGCACACCAGTGAATCATGCCGTGGCTTCACTGGGGCGTCTCACAGGCCTATTGGGGCGTCTTGGGGACCTGGAAGGCCACTCGGGGGGCCTCTTGGGACCTCCGCCTCTTGGGGGCCATTTGGGGCCTGTTGGGTGCGTCTTCGGGGTCTCTTGGGGCTTCCTGGGAGCTTCTTGGGGCGAGAAACTCGACATGTCGATTCGTGTTCCCTCCTTGGGTCCCCTCCTGGAGCCTTCTTGGGACCCTCTGGGGCCCTCTGGGGTCGTCTTCGGAGCCTCTTGGGCCGTCTTGGGGCCCTCTTTGGTCTTCTTGGGGCGATTTTTGGGGCCCTTTTGGCCATCTCGGGGCGATCTTGGGGAACGAATCGCTGGAGAGGGAAACGGACAAATTTCCTTGTCCGGCGACGCTTGAGGGAAACTGAAGCATTTCCTTGTCCCGTTCGTGAGTCGCCAGAAAGGGGATATGAAAAGGTCTGTTCGGCCACGTGACAGGGAAACTGACAAGTTTCCCTCTCCTGTCCGGGGACCGCCAGAGAGGGACACTGAACAGTTTCCCTGTGCGTCTGGGGATCGCAGGACATGTAGGCTAGAAATCACTTGGCACACTTAGCATCCTCTTGCTAGCAAGAAGTGGCAGCGGATCCAATGGCTTTCGGCCTTTCTCGCCAAGTTGCCCAGATCGTGGATCGGAGGCTTCTTGGAGGCCGCGTGGGAGCCTCTGGGTTTTGTGACGGCATCTTGGGCTTTCTCGAGCCGTGCCGTAATGTCTTTGGTCTGTTCGGGGGCTCGACGTTTTGAGGTCTTCCCTGTCTGTAACGGTGGCTTCTGTCTGGGTGTCGGTGGACTGGAATCGCTGGCCCGCTGTGGTTTCCCGAATCTCGTATGGTCTCCCGCCTAGGCGTCATTCTGGTATATTCTGGTCTCCCGTTTGTTTCTTCTATTCTTCTCTTCACGGTCACCTGTATGGGCTTCCGTATGGTTTCCCGCATGGTCTCCCGTACGGTTTTTGGACGGTCTCCCCAGTGTCTCCCGTATCGTCTCCCACATGGTTTCCCGTTTGGTCTCCCGTATGGTCGTACCGCAAACCAAGCTGGCTACCATCCAGTTTGGTCTGCGCTATCTCCTCAGGGTTCCTGTGAGGCGGCTGCAGCACGGTGTGTTCGGGCATGCCATTGAGGTGTGTTGCGACGACGAGGTTTTCGACAAGACGCGGCGGCGCTTCTGACGGAAACTGTGCAAGGCCAACAGGATGGACGACGGGCTCGCGTGTAGCACACGGCACTTTGCGGGCAGGCGCGGGCCCGTCGAGTGCGGCGGCGAATTTTGCGCCCGCGCGTCAGTTTCGGCCAAGCGTTTCTACGGGCAGTGGGGCCCGTGCGCCGCTGGGGCAAGAGCGAGCATAATCGCGTGCTTCAGTTGGCCAACGTGCAGTTCCAGCAGAGGCGGGACGTTTTCGGGCATCCCAGTGTCCGGAAACAGGTACGCAACGCGCAGTGCACAAACGGCGCGGCCTGGAAGACGGTGAGGCGATTCCGCCATGCTTTCTGTAGGGAAGTGTTCATCCCTGTGGAAGCCGTGTAGGATGCTTCCGATGAGATCCTGGCCTTCGCATAGGCCCCCCCAAACAGTGCGAGGCGTCGGTGGCTGTGGTCGCGGACTTGCAGAGCTTCGGCGAGTCCCGCGCGGGGGACCGTGTGAGCGACTTTCTCGAGTGCAGGTCGGTCTTCCCGACGCGCACCAGCCGGGTCTTCTTAAGACGGTTGGGTCTACGCGGGCCAGGGAACATAATGAGGCCTCAATTGCATCTTTCGTGGCAGTCGCCACGCTGGCGGTGGTGACAGCGCGGCGGACCTGAACACCTGGCGGTGCGGTTCGGTGACGGTGGCGCCCAGAGGGCCCGTGCCAACGGCGCAATCTGACGAAGTGCGCTCTTGCTGGGGTATCGTGCCCAGTCCCCTCGTCTGATTGTCTCCTTTACTCGCCCTGCGCTCCTCCTCCCTCCCTTCCCCCTTCCCCCCTCCCCCTCCTGCTTCTCCTCCTCCTTCTCCTCCTCGTCGTCGTCCTCCTCCTTCTCGGCGTCCCCCTCCTCCTCCTCGGGCCAACCAAGCGACGCCAAAGGAGCGAGGTGTTAATGGCAGGGGTCACGCCTGATGACTCTGTGTGTGTATGACTTTCGTTGCCGGAAAACTCCAAAGCCATAACTCAAGTGATATGCATGAAACTTTAAGAAGCATTCTTCCAAGCCGTTTGGATCACCGCAGCGCCTGGAACATCTTTGAACGCATTAAAGCAATGCAGAACCAGGCTAAACACCATGAGTTCACGTTTGACTAAATAAAGCAACGACGAATTTCTTGAAGCCTACTCTTTATGTTAAGCGCACTATGACACACGACCGCAATATTGCGCCGCCTAAAGCGCTTTAAAGTCATGCGGATCCCTTTCGAACCAGTATAAAACCAAGCACAACATATCATAACATGGTGAACCCAGTGAAAAAAACAGATAACCACCCAAAATATATTAAAACTTGCGAAACGCCGCGTTCACAAGCAAATTCTGGGTTTGGAGGGTTTTCGGGTTTTGGGTTTTGGATTGTTGTGGGGGGTTTATCGAGTTTCTGGGGTCTTCGGGGGCGTTTTAGGGCTTCGCGCGCGCGCGTTGGCGAGCGCCTCTCCCGCCTGCGGGCGGCGCGCCCCCGTTTTGTTCGCGGCCGCATGACAGGCCCCCCCCCCCGCGCGTAGGGACCGCCTCAAGGAATGCGTCGCCGGAGACGCCCGCTGGGTCCGAATTGTGTTGCCGCGGGTTGGGTTTGAATCCGGGGTGCTGCGAGTGCAGCTTGGAGCGCCAGAGTAGCCCGCGCGGATCAGAGCGAGGCCCGCCGAGCCGCAACGCATCATCGCCACAGTCTGCTCCGCGCTGGGCGACCTACCCTGAGCGCGGACGCGGTCATGTACGGCGACTGCGTCCAGCAGTGGCCATCTCGCCCGCGAGCCCATCGGCGCCCCGCGCCGAGTGCGGACGAGAATTCCTTTTCCTGGTTGTCCCGCAACCATGATGGAGCGCGCCCGCGGTGCAGAATATCGCAGCGGGCGCGCCCTGCTGCGGCGACAGCCTGGTCGATGTCGACTTAGTGATCGGCCGCCGGAATGGCGGTTTCGCCGAAGGATTCAGGCGTCGTGGTTCCCGCGTCAGGAGCGAGCCAATTCCCCAGAGATCCAACGCGCGAGCGGGCCCTCGGATGAGCTCGGGGGGCGTGGCGCATGTGCCAATCCCCAGCGTTTCGCTTAGCTGCGGGCGAGCCGCCGCGCCGCTGTCAGCGGCCCCTCGCAGGGGCGCCATCGTGCGTGGAGCCGCAGGGCGGCGGCGCCGAAGCGGACCGATGCCGCATTGTGATCGGCCTCGTGGACTCTCAGCGGCCGCGCGCCAGCACGGGGCGCATTGCGCGCAGCCGCGAAGCGGGCGAGAGGCGACCGTTTCCCCCCCCCCCCCCCCCGCCGACTCCCCATGCAGTGCTGGGCCGAGTTCAGCCGAAGGCGCGCGTGCCGTCGGGCGCTCGGGCTGTGGCCTCGGCGCGGGTTGGCAGCTTTTGGCAAACCGTGGGGCGGCGGACGCCCCCTCCAAGAGCAGTGAAGTGGGAGGGGCAAGGGGGGCTATCGTGTACCGAGGGCCGCCGTGCGACGAGTAATCCGGGAACGTCGTCAATTCGAAAATACGTTGCCGTCGTTGGTCAAGCGCGCGAGTTGGCAGCTGCATTGTTCTTTGTCGGTCGAAGGTCTTGGCTCGGCGCTATGGCCCCAGCGCGGCCGCCGGGCGAAGATGGCGCGACAAGCTTTGCGTAGGAGTAGCAGCAGAAGATTCCGCAGTAATGGGCCAAACGTGCGCGAGCCGTCGTTGTTTTTGCGCGCTGTTGGTTGGTTTTCGGTTTTCGGCTTCCCAGGAAATCAGCGCCTTTCGATCACTTGGCATGGGGTGCGCCGGTGCATCGCGACGCCGAAAGCGCCCCCGCCTATGCTGACGCCTGTGCATGGGAGGTGCGTGTCGCTAACATGGTGCCCATGGGTTTGCAGCAATGCCTCCCCCCTGCCCCCTGGTTCCATGTCTCTGCCTGCTGAAAGTTCCTGGTCCCTGCCCCTCCGCCATCTTCCGCTCAATCCCTCCGTCCACCCTGCTCCTTGTCCACCCGCTCCCCTCTCACCCCCGTTTTCCTTCCGCCCTCCTCGTTGCCCTCTTCTCCCTGCTCCCCCGTTCTCCTTTCCTTCTTGTCGCCCCTGGTCGCATTGTCCGCCACCTTCCGCCTCCCTCTTCGCTGCCCGTTGTTTCGTTTCCTTTCCGCCTTCTCGGCCTCCTTCCGCTTCAGTCCTCGCTCTCCATCCCGTCCATCTTCCGCCCCCCTCTTTGTGGCCCCGCCGGACACCCGCAGGTGGTTGGCTGGCACCCGGACGTGAGCAATATGCTCATTGCGTGCGGATTCAGTGGCGGGGGGAGGTGTGGGCGGGTCGCCGCCGCGACGCGACTGTTGTGACGAGCGCTCTTTCTGCCAGCGTCCATATACTTGACGGTGCCGCACCCTTTCAGCCACCTGCTTGCTTGGTTGCTCGCGGGCGCGCCCGTCCACCCACGCCAGTCACACCCACTCGCCCGCGCCCAGCCACACTCGCAAACGCCCGCCCACTTAGCCATGCTCACTCGCAGCCGACCCACATGCGTATCCCCACCCGCGCACTCGCACACCCGCACGCCGACACCAACCCACCTACACACCTCACCACACCACGCCACACCCGTCCATTCATTAACCCAGCCAGAGCCACACCTATAAAGAACGATTCACCGACCAACCGACCACCCGAAACTCTGACGTGTCGGTGGGTTGATCTTCTGGTAGTGTACGGTTGCGGGGGCGAATCGATCATGCATCGATGCGGTTAGTTGCCAGGATCGGGTTTCAGGGTGCGGTTAGTTGCCTGGAGCGCATAGTTTGTTTCATCCTTCCTCCGTTTCCCTCCCTGATCTATCTTAAAGCAGATTTAGCGAGGACAAGGGCGAAATCGAGGAGGAATGCTTGCTGTCCGCTCGTGCAGGAGCCTCAGGGTGTTCAGGGGCTCAATGATCGCGCAAATGCTCTCGGTAGTTGTGGTTGCTCCTGTTGCTGATTATGTCGACGAGGGTGATGGTTATGGTGATGACAGTAATGACAATGTTGATAGCGACGATGATGGTGGTGATAATGCTGCTGCTGATAATGATGATGACATTGATGCCGATGACGTTGGTGATGATGATGCTGATGATGATGCTGATGATGATAATGATGATGCTGATGATGATGCTGCTGATGCTGCTGCTAATGCTGATGATGATGCTGTGGATGCTGATGAAGATGCTGATGCTGCAGATGCTGCATATTATGATGCTGATGATGATGCTGCTGCTGATGCTGATTGATGGTGAGTCAGCTGCTGCTAAAGGTGCTGCTGATGATGCTTATGATGATGATGCTGACGACGAAGCCGACGATTAAGATGACGACGCTGATGCTCACGATGATGTTGCTGATGATGATGATGCTGATGATGCTGCTGCTGCTGCTGCTGATGATGATGACGACGATGATGATGATGATGATGATGATGATGATGATGATGCTGATGCTGATGCTGCTGCTGATGATGTGGTGGTGGTGATGATGCTGATGACCATCACATGTGGAGGACACATGGTGAGGAGGAGGAGGAACATGAGCAGGAGCAGCTGGATGAGGAGCAGGGCGAGGGCACGGCGATCTTCCGTCTGCTTGTCTATGGTTGCTATGATAATGGTGAGTGGCATGCACAGTATGTGGACGATGGGGAGCAATTCGATAAGTGGGAGGGCGAAGTGAACTATGTTGATGCTGATGCTGATGCTGCTGAGGCCGCTGTTGCCGCTGCTGCTGCTGCTGCTGCTGCTGATGATGATGATGATGATGATGATGATGATGATGGTGGTGGTGGTGGTGTTGATGGTGATGCTTACGATGATGGTGAGGATGCTGCTGCTGCTGATGATGCTGCTGCTGCCGCTGCTGATGCGGATTAGGATGCTGCTGCTGATGATGATGCTGCTGCTGCCGATGATGATGATCCAGCTGCCTATGGCAAGTTCCACCACCGCGTCAGATGAGGATTCTGGGTGGCAACTGTTCGAGGGGTCACGGGAAGCCATATCGTGCGACATGCAGTGAGGATATAAGGATGAGGACGAGGATGGCGAGGATGAAGATGGGACTGGCGAGGAGGAAGAGGAGGAGGAATAAGAGGAGGAGGAGGTGGACGATGAGGGAGGAGGAGGAGGAGAATGGTGAGGATGAGGAGGAGGAGGAAGAGGAGGAGGAGCAGGAGGATGAGGACGAGGATGAGGACGAGGATGAGGATGAGGATGAGGAGGAGGAGGAGGAAGAGCAGGAGAAAGCTGATGAAGGCCGTCACACGTGCCACCTTTCGGCTTCACTTCTTGCGGATCTGTCCCGTGGGGTAGTGTTGGGGTGCCCATGATTGCTGTCTTGGGGCCCTCTTGGGCCGTCTTGGGGCCCTTGTAGGCAGTCTTGGGGCTCGCTTGGGCCGTCTTCGGGCCCTCCTGGCCGTATGGCGGATGCCTTGAGGCCGTCGTGGGGCCGTCTGGGGGCCGTCCTGGGCCGCCGACGGGCCTTCTAAGGCAATTTTGGGCCTCGCTGGAGACCCTCTTGGGCAGTCATGTGACCGTCTTGGGGACCTTCTGGAGGCCTATTGGGCAGTCTTGGAACCCTCTTGCGTCGGGGCCATTTTGGAGTCTTCTTGGGCCGTCTTGAGCTGATGGAAGTCCGAAAAGGCGAGGCTGCGATCACCATTCAAAACTCTAAACAATATCTGTGACTTTGGCTTCTTCGGACTCTGTTGGGGGCCCTCTGGGCCCTCTTGGATGCGTCTTGGGTCGTCTTGAGGCCCTCCCGGGCCGCATTGTGATCATCTTGGGCCTTGTTCGAGGCATCCCGAGCCATCATGGCGGCCTTCGCTGACTGTCTGGGCCGCCTGAAAAGCTCGGGACGCGGGCCCACGTTTTTTTTCACCAGGGGTCGTGGCCTCGGGAGAGCTGACCCATGCTTTTTCTAAGAGGGATCGTGGCCTCGTGAGAACTGGCGATGCACTCACCCGTCCGCTCGTTGGGAAGGGGGACGGGGGGGCCTTCGAAGAAGTCATACAACCTACCAGGCAGCGCTTGGCATTCTGCCACGAGTCAACGTGTCAGGGGGCACGGTGGCGGGTGATGACGATGCTCCCGACGACGACGACGACGACAACGGAAACGATGATGGACGTGGTGGTGACGATGATGGGTGATAACGATGGTGCTGGTGGTGGTGGTGGTGATGATGATTATGATGATGCTGATGATGGTGGTGGTGGTAGTGGTGGTGATGACGATGGTGGTGGTGGTGGTGGCGATAATGATGATCATGCTGATGGTGGTGGTGGTGATAGTGATGGTGATGGTGCTGATGGTGATGGTGATGGTGATGATGTTGATGGTGATGGTGATGCTGATGATGACGATGATGCTGTTTCTGATGATGATGGTGATGGTGATGGTGATGACGGTGTGGGTGCTGGTGATGATGATGCGATGGGGATGGTGATGATGATGATTTACATGGTGGTGGTGCTGGTGATCGTGACTGTGGTGATGATGATGCTGATGATTCGTAGAAGATAAGAAGGTGGTGGTAATGAAGATGATGATGCTGATAATGCTGATGATGCTGCTGATGATGATGACGATGACGATGACGATGATGAATATGATGATGATGCTGATGCTGCTGCTGATGATGATGACGATGATGATGATGCTGATGATGCTGATGATGATGATGCTGATGATGATACTGATGATGATGATGGTGATGATGATGGTGGTGGTGGTGGTGGTGATGATGATCATGATGGTGATGCTGCTGCTGATGATGATGATGATGATGATGATGATGATGATCATGATGATGATGATGATGATGATGATGATGATGATGATGATGATGAGGATTAGGACGAGGGGAGGAGGATGAGGAGGATGAGTAGCAGTAGGAGGAGTAGCAGTAGTAGTAGTAGTAGTAGTAGTAGTAGTAGTAGTAGTAGTAGTAGTAGTAGTAGTAGTAGTAGTAGTAGTATAGTAGTTGTAGTAGTAGTTGTAGTTGTAGTAGTAGTAGTAGTAGAGTAGTAGTAGTAGTAGTAGTAGTAGTAGTAGTAGTCGTAGTAGTAGTAGTAGGAGGAGGAGGAGGAGGAGGAGGAGGAGGAGGAGGAGGAGGAGGAGGAGGAGGAGGAGGAGGAGGAGTAGGAGGAGGAGGAGGAGGAGGAAGAGGAAGAAGAGGGGACGAGCAGGACAAGGGAGGAGAAAGAAGGACGAGGATCACCTGGCGGATGAGGAGCAGGAGGAGCGACAGCAGCAGCTCGACGACGACAACGACCACGACAACGACGACCACTATGACGACCACGACCACGACCACGACAACGACAATCAAGACGACGACGACGACCGTCTCCAGAGTTCCCCAGAGGTCACTGGAGCTCCCTGGAATGCTCTCCAGAGGGCTCTCCGGAGGGCTCTCCAAAGTGCTCTCCCGAAGGGCTCTCCGAAAGGCTCTCCGAATGCTCGCCGGATGCTTCCGATGACTTCCGGAGGCCTTCTGGAGCGCCCAGACAAGCTCTGAGACGTCCAAAGACCTTCATCGAGGGCCCATCGAGGGCGCACCGAGGGCCCGCCGCGGGCCTGCGGGGCCGCGGAAGGATTTCGAGGGCCCGCCGAGGGCCGCGCCGAGGGCCGCGCCGAGGGCCGGGAGTGGCGGCGAGGGAGTGACCTCTGGTAATCCTCCGCCAGGGTGGCCTGCCCAGACCCCCTCGAGTCATGAAAAACCGCGAGAAAGGTTTGTATTTTCGTCCTCCAGGGGCCCTCGCCGGGCCTCGGGGCCGTCATACAACGACTCAGGATGAGAAACCGGTCCTGGGGAATGGGTGAAGACTTGGGGGTCGACGTCATGAAAAAGTTATGACGTCGGGGGTCTGGGTCTGGTGCGGGCATACTCGGGCCCCTAGGTGGCCGAGTGCGATGTGAGACAGCAGCGGCCTGCCCGCTCGGGTTTGGCCCCCCGCGCCCACCTTCCCCCTCGCTCTCCTGCTCCCCTCTGCACGTGACCCATTCCCCTTCCCTCTCGCTTTTCAGCTTCCCCTTCGACTTGATCGATTCTCCTCCTCCATCAAGTCCCCAGGGTCTTCCTCCCTCGTCTTCCTCTGGTCCCTATCCCTCCTCCCTCCCTCCTCCCTCCCCTTCCTCTTCCTCTGTCCTTCGCCGTCTCAGCGACGGAGCAAGCTAGGGTCGTCTTCACCGACGTTGGCGCGTATGCTGCCTGTGTCTCACGGCGCGTGAGCGCCCTCGCTTCCAATGCAGCGTGCCGCGCTGGCAGCCCTCGTCAGATCCGCTTCTTTTCGTCGCCCACCTCGCTTCATGCCTCCCGCCTCCTCTTGCCTAGGGCCACCCTTGCCCGGGGTCCCTCTTGCGTAAAATCAATATGAACAGGGGCTCTCTGTCCTCTGGGCCCGAGGAGACGCATCGGATCCCCTAGCGAAATGAGAAACTGCTTAGGGCGGATGTTGTTGCCGCCCTGAGAGCGCACTGATTACTTGGTGTGCGAGACCGCACAGGGCAGGCCAGGCAGGACGAAGGGTCACTCTTGCGTGCGCCCGACCTCTGGCGGCGGCGGGGGTGTCCTGAGGCCACGGCCTGCAGCATGCGCCGGGCGCCGGGCGCGCCTGCGCGGAGCTGCTCGTGCACGGCCAGCAGGGGGGGGCTGGGCTGCCGCCGCGGCCACCGCCGCCGCTCTCCCTCCTTGCTCCTCCTCCTCGCTCCTCCTCCTCCTCCTCCTCCTCCTCCTCCTCCTCCTCCTCCTCCTCCTCCTCCTCCTCCTCCTCCTCCTCCTCCTCCTCCTCCTCCTCCCTCTCCTCGCTCTTTCTCCTCCTCGCACCTCCTCCTCCTCCTCCTCCTCCTCCTCCTCCTCGCACCTTCTCCTCCTCCTCCTCGTTATTCCGCCTCCTCTCCCTCCTCCTCGCTTTTCCTCCTCCTCGCTCATCTTCTTCCTCCTCCTCCTGTGCAATCGAGTAAGACAGTTGCTGGGCTGAAGGTTGCCATTGTGGCCCTCACCCCTCAGACAGAGCTCCGCAGACTGAGCCACTCGGGGTCCTCGATCGACCGACTGACCGACTTCCTCTTCCTCCTCCTCCTCGCTCTTCCTCTCTCCCCTCCTCCCCCTTCTCCTCTTCCCCCTCCTCCCCGGAGCCCGAACAATCGCCAATCGGGACGCTAGTTGGGCGCTCTTGGGCTCTCGGTGGGCCGTCTTGGGGCCATTCTGAGACCTTCTTGGGGCTCTCGTGGGCGATCTCAGAGGCAGTCATCTTCGGGCCTCATAGGCCAACCACTAGCGAAAATGAGGGAAAGCACATGTCATTGTTAATCCTTCGATGTGAAGAGTTTGCCTCTCACAGTTTCCTTGGGAGGTCCCGTTGCCACTTGGAAACGTATCGGGGCGGTCTTGTGGCCTCTCGGAGTCGTGCTGACGACGAGCTTGAGCCATTGCGTCATTTTGGATGCTGTCGTGGGCTGTCTGAGGCCAGCTCGGAACCATCTTGGGCCATCTTGGACACTCGAACGCGTCGTGCTCCCCGTCGAGACCCAAATAAAGGGATACAGGGAGGGGTAACTCCATTTTGAGGGGGACGAAGGGGTCGGAACAACCAACTCTCTAAGCCATCTATGCCCAGAGGGCTGGTCGGATTCCTCGCAGAAGGCACCCTGGAAAGGTCCTGCGTTTGAAGGGGGTGATGCTAATGATGATCATGATGTTGATGATGGTGATGATGATGATGATGATGATGATGATGATGCTGATGGCGATGATGATGTTGCTGATGATGATGATGATGATGATGATGATGATAGTGATGATGATGACGCTGATGACGCTGATGATGATGATGATGATGATGGTGGTGGTGGTGGTGGTGGTGGGGATGATGCTGATGCTGATGTTGCTCCTGTTGTTGATGTTGATGATGATGGGTGATGATGGTGCTGCTGCTGATGATGCTGCTGATGATGATGTTGGTGGTGATGCTGCTGATGATGCTGATTATGACGGTGCTGCTGCTGCTGATGATGATGATGATGAAGGTGATGATGATGACGATGATGATAGTAATGATGATGGTGATGATGAAGGTGATGATGATGTCGATGCTATCAATCATGATAATATTGATGATGTTGCTGATGATTATTATGCTGTTTATGATGATGGTGATTATGATGTTGTTGCTGATGCTGGTGATGTTGATGACGCTGACGATTAGGATGAGGATGAAGATGCCGCCGACGACGACGGTGATGATACTGAAGAGAATTACGATGACGATGACGATGATGATGATAATGCTGATGATGGTGATGATGATGATGACGATCATGATGATCATGACGGTGCTGACGATGATGCTGATGCTGATGCTGATGCTGATGCTTATGCTGATGATGACGATGATGATGATGCTCATGACGATGCTGATGACGATGATGACGATGCTGATGATGACGGCGATGATGATGATACTGCTGCTGATGATGATTCTGTTGATGCTACTGATGATGTTGACGACGACGACGACCACGACGACGAAGATGATGATGATGATGATGATGATGATGATGATGATGATGATGATGATGCTGATGATGATGATGATGCTGCTGACGATGATGATGATGGCGATGACGATGGCGACGATGCTGATGCAGCAGCTGATGCTGATGACTCTGATGATGATAGTGACGTTGGTGGGGTGGATTACGATGGTGATGAGGTTGATGCTGCTGCTGATGATGTTGCTGATGCGGCTGATGACTACGACGATGGCGATGATGATGAGGAGGAGGAAGAGGATGATGATGCTGATGCTGCTACCGATGATGATGATGATGATGATGATGATGATGATGATGATGATGATAATAATGATGATGGTGATGATGACGATGCTCCTGTTGCTGCTGCCGATGCGGCTGCTGCTGCTGCTGATGATGACGGTGGTGATGATGAGTCGGCTGCTGCTGCTGCTGATGGTGATGATACAGAATAGGATGATGGTAATGCTGATGCTGACGCTGATGCTGATGCTGCTGTTGCTGCGGCTGAGGACGATGACGATGTTGTTGTTGTTGTTGTTGTTGTTGTTGTTGTTGTTGTTGTTGTTGTTGTTGTTGTTGTTGTTGTTGTTGTTCTTGTCGTTGTTGTTGTTGTTGTTGTTGTTGTCGTTGTCGTTGTCGTTGTCGTTGTCGTTGTCGTTGTTGTTGTTGTTGTTGTTGTTGTTGTTGTTGTTGTTGTTGTTGTTGTTGTTGTGGTTGTGGTTGTGGTTGCGGTTGTGGTTGTTGTTGTTGTTGTGGTTGTTGTTGTTGTTGTTGTTGCTGTTGCTGTTGTTGTTGGCACTGCACCTAACAGCCCGCCCCCCTCCCAGCAACCAGCAACCAGCAACCAAGCCGCTGGCGCGCCTGGCGTGTATGGCGCGCCTGGCGCGCCTGGCGCACCTGGCGCGCCTGGCGCACCTGGCGCACTTGGCGCACCTGGCGCACCTGGCGCACCTGGCGCGCCTGGCGCACCCGGCGCACCTTGCAGACCTGGCGCGCCTGGCGCACCTTGCGCGCATGGGGCGCCTGGCGCACCTGGCGCGCCTGGCGCACTTGGCGCGCATGGCGAACCTGGCGCACTTGGCACACCTGGCGAACCTGGCGCACCTGGCGCGCCTGGCGCACCTGGCGCGCATGGCGCACCTGGCGCGCATGGCGCACCTGGCGCACCTGGCGCACCTGGCGCACTTGGCGTACCTGGCGCGGCTGGCGCACCTGGCGCACCTGGCGCACCTGGCGCGCCTGGCGCACCTGGCGCGCCTGGCGCGCCTGGCGCACATGGCGCGCGTGGCCCACCTGGCCCACCTGGCGCACATGGCGCGCCTGGCGCGCCTGGCGCACGTGGCGCATCTGGCGCACCTGGCGCAGCTGGCGCACCTGGCGCACCTGGCGGACCTGGCGCACTTGGCGCGGCTGGCGCACCTGTCGCACTTGGCGCACCTTGCGCGCCTGGAGCACTTGGCGCACCTGGCGCACCTGGCGCGCCTGGCGTGCATGGCGCGCCTGGGGCGCGTGGTGCTCCTGGCGCGCCTGGCGCACCTGGCGCGCCTGGCGCACCTGGAGCACCTGGCGCACCTGGCGCACCTTGCGCACCTGGCGCGCCTGGCGCACCTGGCGCACCTGGCGCACCTGGCGCGCCTGGCGCAGTTGGCGCACCTGGCGCACCTGGCGCACCTGGCGCGCCTGGCGCACCTGGCACACCTGGCGCACCTGGCACACCTGGCGCACTTGTCGCACCTGGCGCGCCTGGCGCACCTGGCGCACCTGGCGCACCTGGCGCACCTGGCGCACCTGGCGCGGCTGGGGCGCCTGGCGCACCTTGCGCACCTTGCGCACCTGGCGCGCCTGGCGCACATGGCGCACTTGGCGCACCTGGCGCACGTGTCGCACCTGGCGCACCTGGCGCACGTGGCGCACCTGGCGATCCTGGCGCGCATGGCGCACCTGGCGCACCTGGCGCACCTGGCGCGGCTGGCGCACCTGGCACACCTGGCGCACTTGGCGCACTCGGCGCGCCTGGCGCACTTGGCGCACCTGGCGCACCTGGCGCACGTTGCGCACCTGGCGCACCTGGCGCGCCTGGCGCACCTGGCGCGCCTTGCGCGCCTGGCGAACGTGGCGCACCTGGCGCATAGGGTATCTTGCGCACCTGGCGCACCTGGCGCACGTGGTGTGCGTGGCCCACCTGGCGCACATGGCGCGCGTGGCCCACCTGGCGCGCATGGCGCGCCTGGCGCACCTGGCGCACCTGGCGCGCCTGGCGCACGTGGCGCACGTGGCGCATCTGGCGCACCTGGCGCACCTGGCGCAGCTGGCGCCCCTGGCGCACCTGGTCCACCTGGCGCGCATGGCGCACCTGGCGCACCTGGCGCACCTGGCGCGCCTGGCGCGCCTTGCGCATGTGGCGCACCTGGCGCACCTGGCGCGCCTGACGCACCTGGCGCACCAGGCGCACCTGGCGCACCTGGCGCACCTGGCGCACCTTGCGCACTTGGCGCGCCTGGCGCGCCTGGCGCACCTGTCGCACCTGGCGCGCCTGGCGCAGTTGGCGCGCATGGCGCACCTGGCGCACTCGGCGCACCTGGTGCACCTGGCGCGCCTGGCGCGCCTGGCACACCTGGCACACCTGGTACACCTGGCGCACTTGGCGCGGGAGGAGGAGGAGGAGGAGGAGGAGGAGGAGGAGGAGGAGGAGGAGGAGGAGGAGGAGGAGGAGGAGGAGGAGGAGGAGGAGGAGGAGGA